CTACAAATAGAAAATATTTTACTTCTTCCTTCTAATTTGAATACCTTTTATTTCTTTTTCTTGGGTAATTTCTTTGACTAGAACTTCCAGTCAATGCTGAATAGCAGTGGTAAAAGTGGGCATCTTGTCTTATTCCTGATCTTAGGGAGAACGATTTAAGACTTTCATCACTGCTTATGATGTTAGCTATCTACCGCCCTTTAGATGATGGGCTACTCTTAGAGCCCTGTGTTGAGTGAGGATGGGGGCAACCACCTGCTTTATTATCCAACAAATAGATTTCTCCTGAAGGAGAATATCTTAGTCTGTTTGGGCTACTGTAACAAATTACTATAGACTGGGTAGCTTATAAACAGCAAAAATTTATTTCTCACAGTTCTGGAGGCTGGGAAGTCCAAGATCAAGGTGCAAGCAGATTCGGTGTCTGTTGAGGGACCACATACTGGTTCACAGGTTGTCAACTTCTTGTTAGAATCTCACATGGCAAAAGAGGTGAGGGAGCTCTCTGGGGTCTCTTCTATAAGGGCACTAATCCCATTCATGAGGTCTCCACCTTTGTGACCTAATCACCTCCCAAAAGGCCCTGCCTTCTAGTACCATCACATTGGGGATTAGGATTTCCACATATGAATTTTGGGGACACATAAACGTTCAGTCTATAGCAGAGCATCATATATGGAGTCATGTTGAGAGAAAATACCCACTAATTAGAAAATACCAATTTCATGTCAGCACTAATCACACTGTTAAAATGTCAGTTGAACTAAAACTCAAACATTTGTTAAGTTCCCACTATATTGCACACACTTTTATTACTTCATTTAATCTTGCAACAGCCATTGGAGACAGGCTCTCTGTTATAACCACTTCCATTTTAGAGGTGAGAAAACGAATGCTAAGGGGGTGAGGTGGTTCATACAGCTGGTAGGTGTTCAAAGGAAGTTTGGTATAGTGGCAATTTTCCTGATTTGTACATTGTCTTCATGTTTTCTGTCCAGTAATTCTCAAGAGTAGAGAATGAGCACTGCCCTTCTTTGTGCAGTGTATCAGAACCTCCCTGTGGGTTGAAGGGTTGGGGAAGGCTTTCTCAAAGGCACCACCACTCCTCAGTCTGTTCTGATAACTTACTCAGGGGTACCCTGTCCCTGGTAGGGATCCACTGCTGCAAGGATCCAGTGTGACTGACAGGGGCTTGCTGTCACTCACAGGTGTGTGTGTGTAGTGGAGAAAAGGTTGAGAGCCACTACAAACCACAGCATCATCCTTCTTTTGTGATGTTGGTGCTGCCAAATCAGCTAAAGGGACTTGTGGAGCTGCTTCTTTCAGAAGGTTCCAAGAGGGAACTCTGTCTGAGGATTGGTAGCGAATTCTTCTCAAGAAGTGTTGGGCCAGGCAACTTTGCCCTACCCCAAAACCTTGTACTGTTAACTCAGCAGTAATCAACACTCTTGGGGAGATTAGCTTTATCAAGTAACTGTAGCCACAGGTACCTGGATAATTCATAGCCAATGGTTAGTTTCTGCCTCAAATTTCTGGGTCACTGGGGCTTTTTAAGATCCCATTCTGGATAGTGTTATGGGACCTGACTAGTGGGCCTGTATGTCTGCCGCAGAAGTGTAGGCAAGAGCCATGGAGTCGAGTCCCGATGGCATGGGGCTGCACCTGTGGGAAAAGCCTAGGTTTTCTGAGTCCTGGTGTTGGGTGCTAATCCTCAGCTTGGATAAGACACAACAGAAATTGCTGTTGATGTTCTAACTGGGATTCCTGCACACAAGAGTCCATATCCACCCAGGGTAGGGGAAGGTTGCATTTTTGCTCTCTTGGTTTTTTAGCTCGAATTTCCTCTTTCTTTTGGCCTCATTTTCTGTGTGAAGGCATCGTTGAATTTAATTCCCTGCCCCTTCTCTTCTGTGTGGAGGATTTGCTGAGAGTCCTCTGCCAGCGTTGGCCATTTTGGTGCCCCATTTATGTTTTCAGCACACATCAGAATCATCGGTTCACCAGACATCCCTGGGCTGTAGATGGCCATGTGGACAAACCCTACCAAGAGGTACGTCTATTGAAATTCTGAAAACATACATATAAATAAACAGAACCAAGGGGCGGGGGAGGGGTAGCCTTGCCTCTTATTGCCCCAACAATCAGCCCTCTTTAGATGAAATTCAGCAAGTCTTTATTGTCTCAGTTCAGCTTAGCAAATGTCTGTGTGGTGATTCAGATAAGATGCAGCTCTTGTCTTCAAAGAATTCAAACTCTGCTTGGCCACTCAATTGCAGCGAACTCCTTTCATCCCTTATTTCTCTATCATTCTATGCCCCTTCCTTCTGCCATCCTCCCACCTGTCCCTGTCACCTCCCGTATTTTTCCTGTCCCGCAGGCTTGAAACCTTGGTGTCCACCTCACCTTTCCTCTTCTTCACTCTCTGCTCCATCGAGCAACTATACATCCCAGTTTGCCTGGGACAGTCCTGGCTTAAGTCTGCTGTCCCCGTGTAATTGTAATGGCTACCTTTGCACTCTCCAAAGTGTCCAAGTTCGGGCAATAAATAAATGGTCAGTCATTCTATAACCTTTTAGAGACTAAGGCTGTCTCCTCCCGTCCTTCTCCATTCCTGGCATGTCACTGCCTTGTTACCGCCACCACCCGGGTCCAGACGCCGATACCTCCTGCCTGGATTACTGCAATTCCCTTCTCCCTGCCTTCCTTACTTCCCATGCCTCTCATTTTGCAACCCATTCGGCAAATCATTGCCTGATGAATTCTCTCAAAACACAGTTCTCTGCTGCTCACTTCATTGGTTCCTTGCTGCTTGCAGGATAACAATTCAAACATCTTAGTCTGGCACTTGAAACCCTTTGCAGCTCAGCCTCTGCTTTTTTTCTACAGGAATCTCATTTCCTCTCTAATTCGGTGACGCACTGTCCCGACCCTGCCCTGCCCTGCCCTGACCACCGTTGCTCAGGAAGGTCCGCTTACCTGGCCGTTCCCACAGATGCAAATCCCGTGCGTGTGCGTGTCCTTCAAGCCCAGTGTCAACTCCCGCCTCTTAGGTACAGCATTCTGAGACCAGCCCACCGCTCAGCACCCTCTCCTCCTCTGAACTCCTCGGCCTAGAGCAATTATTGCCTGCACAATCCATTTGGCGTCTAATCATGTACCGCCTCATGACTTTTCACGTATTGCTAGCTTGAGCTTGAGCTGAAAGTATTTGCTGTAATTTCACTTTTCATTCTCAGAGGTCTCTCTTCTCCATCCAAGTGCAGGTTCCCTGAGGACAGGAGCTGTGCCTTATCCTTCTTTTTATTCCTGATGGCACCGAGTGCCTAGTAGGGGTCACATAAAAGACTTCTCAGAAAACCTTAGTAGGTATTCATTTAAGAATGCTAGGACGGGGTGAGACCCTTCTAATCATGTAGTTCAAACTCCTATTTTATGGATGCACCCAAAAACGAAGACAAGAGAAGTCAGAACTTGCTCAGGGGGACCCGGCTAATGCAAGTGGCAGGGCTGGGCTGCAAATCCTGTCAATGAGGCCCCGGGGGACTTTCCCCATCACCAGGCTACTTTCTGTGTGTTGATTTTATTTTGTGACTGGATCACAACCATTTTCAGGTTTAAGTGGGGATTTAGAAAGCAGAGGGAAAGAAGGTAAGCAAGCCAGGAGGGCATGGCCTCAGTGAAGTCCCAGAAATGGTAACTTGCTTGGCATAATCTTGGGTGGGGGGTAGCAATTAGGTCACGATAGGTCCTCTGTAAGTGAGTCGTGAGGAGGCGTGGGTCAGGGAGGATCTCCAGTCCCATGATTTTGGGTTGTAAAATTTCTGTCACAGCCAAGCCACCTGTCCACACCTCAGACCATTGTCTCAGCTCTCTACCCGCTGTTCAGAAGTTATGGAGTGTGTGTGTGTGTGTGTGTGTGTGTTTGTGCAGGAGGTGTGGGTGGGGAAGGCTGGAAGAGGACATCGGGATGGGGAAGTGCCTGCTTGGAGGCAGCTGGGGCACATTTGCTTTGGGCTAGAAAGAAACCCGACTGCAGTGGTATTGAAAAGTGCCACCAGTAATGCTGTTATATATAGCTTTCAACTTTAATAAGGTGTTGCAAAAACTATGAAAATACATATAACTAAAAACACATTTCACTGGAAGCTTGATCTCGAATCCCTTTCTACTGCTCCTGTGTGGTGCTTCGTGCTGTCAGCAGGGCTGTTAAAACACAATGGAAAGTGGGTAATTGTGCGTTATATGGCTTTTGTTTTCCATTATGAAATATTGACATCTGAAAAGAAAGTGGGATTATGGAGGTGGAGGGCACCGGGGAAGAGACGTGAGAAGGGAGGCCAGGGGATGAGGACAGAGGGTGGGAGAGTAGGCACCTGGCTGCTTCTATTGCAGCGGCTCTCTCCGAGTCTTGGCTTTTCTAGCCATAAACCTGGACAAGTTCACGCAGCTCACCGGTATGAAGAGGCTCCGAGTTGATAATCAGGGTTAGCAGAGGTCTCTGGGGTCCTGACATAATGTGCGAGGCCAGAGCAGGGGCCACGGCTAAAGAATGTGTCTGTAGGAAGTTTGGGGAGATAAAGGGCAAATGAAGTCAGGAAAGAGGTGCTGGAATTGTTTCGAGGGGAAAGCCAGACCAGTGTCTGTGCCCGCGTGCTGCTGGGGGGGATCCTTAAATGATGTCCTTTCACCTGATGCCCGGACGCCCAGCAGGAGCTGGGTCCGGAGAAGCTGGAGACTTGCAAAGGTGCCCTCTGCCTAGGGCACGCTTGTTCCTTCCACAAGTAACAAAAGCCATAAAAGAATAATAGCTGCTCTTTATTGAGTGCTATGTGGCAGGTGCTTCATGTACGTTTCCTTACTTGATTCTTACAACAGCCCCACTTTCTGGAGGGAACTGAGGCCAGGTCGGAACCAGAACTCTCTGCCATGGCTCCCAAGTCTCCAGCCGTCCTTGTTTCCAAGGACCACAGGGAGAGAAGGACACTGGGGAAGCACAAAGGAAAGCCACAGCCGGCTGGTCTGGTTTGCGTCGGGGGGAGGAATCAGCATTGGCTGGCAGGGAAAGGAGCTGTGAGCTGAGCTAACTTGGTGGCAGCCCTGCCCCGGGGGGGCCTCAGAGGCACCGGGATCATCGGGGCCAGTCCTCTGTCTCCGTCCAGGTAACTCGCTTACCTTCAGGGTAACTTCTGCGGGCTGTGCGGCATTGCGGGGTCTGCCATTGGGTTTGAGGGACGACGTGTCTCTCTAGATAGATTACATTTGGTTTGCTCAGAAGGCATTTATGGCTTTATAAAGCTCTTAAATTGGCTCTTTTCCCCCCTCAAAACATTTCTTCAAGCTTACAAGGCCCGTTTTAGAATAGCAATTACCAGCTCCAATATCCCCCAGCAAACTCACGCTGTGCTGTTGTGTATAAACTGCTCGGGACATTTGTAACGCTGCCACACAGTGTATCTGCGCGGCCGCAAGCCCCGTCTGCACCCGGGAACGCCGCAGAGCCCTTCCTCAGCTCTAATTTATGGGCCACATAAAACTCTGTGAAGTTGCCCTGCATCTTTCCGAGGCAAAGTTGAGGTTTTTTACTGTTTCAAGCTGCTAATTTTTACCATTTAAGGCCAGCCTTCTGTCCCTGCCAGTGTGCGTGTGTGCATACAAGTTGGCCACTTTAATTTATGTGCCTCTTTCTCTCCCTGTGATGCTCATAACTTACAAATGTGTCCGGAGTATACAGCCAGTTCTTGCTTCTTACGGGAGGTTGGGCTGCTTTGTCCTGGGCTGCGATTCCCCCGGACCCCGGTCCACAGCCGCCGGTTCAGGCCAGGGGGGGTGGGGGGTGGGGTGGAGGGGGGTTGGGGGGCCGGGGTGGGAAGCCTGGTGCAGAGACTGACACCGGCCTGGGGACTGGAGCTGGCAGCAATTCGCCCAGCGAACCTGGCCCGGCGTCCTTTCCCGTGAGGCCAGGGGCTTCATGAGGGCAGCACTGTGGGGTGTACAGAGTAGGAGGCTCAGAGCGAGGGATGAGGATTTAAGGCTGAAATGGAGAACATTCCCGATGTGCTAGCTTGGGCAAGCCCCTCACCTTTCGGAGCCTCGGTTTCCTCATTGGCGGGCTGGGGGTAGGATTATAAATTATAAATTTCTCACCAGGGTGTTACGAGTATCACGTATGCCGACGACCGTGAAGGGCCTTCATAAGCGAAGGCAATATCCGACCGTGGGTTGGTAGCTATTCCAAGCTCTAAGCTGCTGGCAGGGGCCCCCGAGGAGGGGAACGGCCAAGAGCAATGTGATGTGTCAGGGCTTTCCGAAGTCAAGTTGAAGTGCCTCCACTGAGCCCTAAGTGGAGAGCCGCTGTGTAATGCAGGCCAGGAGGTGGGGGCTCTGCACACTCAGCTCCCCCTTTCCCTCCAGGGTCCTCTGACCCCTTGATAAGAGCATCTCGGCCCCCCTTTCCTGCCCCCCAGGCCAGCTTCCACCCCTAATCTTTCTTGGGAGGAATAATCCTCTCCTGGTCTTTGTGGATGCTTCTCATCAGGAGATAACACGGGCAGGTTTTTCTAGCAATCTCCTAAGAAGGCTGTTATTCGGCAGGTTGTAGGGGGCTCGAGGCAGAGAGGCTTGTAGCTCCTGGATTCATGTCCTCACAGGAGGGTCCTTACCACGCAGCAGAGAACTCGGCCCTCTTGCCCTCCCCCTCACCTCACTGGGTTGAGATTATACTGGCAGACAGAACGGGGATGTTCAGCTCCTCCTCAGCGTTTTGGTGGGCCCCTAAATCAGAAGACCCCAAATCCCACTCTTCCTTCAGTGTCCCCCGAGGCCTCCTTCCTCCTAACTGTGCTGGAATGCTCCCACTTGGATATTTTACCAAGTAATGCAAACTCCGTGAGTTTAAAACAGGCTAATTCAACACCTTTTTAGTGAAGGGAGAGATGCCGTCACCTATTGATCATCTCCTATATGCCAAGCAGTGGGCAAGGTGCTTGGTATGCTTCAGATCATTTAGTTTTCACTACAAACTCTACTACTAATAATAACTAAAATGCATCCAGCAAGCATTTACTACATGCCAGGCATTGTCCTGAGCTTTGTGTGTGTGTGTGTGTGTGTGTG